ATAAGATTAATATAAAAATATATTTAATAATAAAGTAAACTAAAAAATTTATTTTGGTTTATATTTTTAATAGAAAAATTTATTTACTATTTTATATCATTTAATTAGGCTAACACAATTTAATTATTACATAGTTAATATAAGATTAACTTTTTTTTAAAATATTATTTATATATGACACACATAAAATATTTTTTACACAAATATTTTTGTTAATAAAATCATATTGATGTTTAAATCATAAAGTGAATGATAAATAATAAATATATTATAAATATTTTATAAATTTTACAATCACCTACTATTACCGTAAACTTATTATTTATTAATAATATTTAAATTTTATTTTTATATTTTAATTTAAAATAATATTTTTCTATGTAACATATGTATTACAAGCACAACTATAATCTATTGAATCTAAATAATATTATTCTTACTATTTATTCACATTCAAAGAAGTTTTTGAAAAGATATAAATATAAAAAATTATTGTTAATTTTTATTTGTTAATTTTTTTAATATACACATATATTTCTTTATTATAAAATTTTATTGTAACTATTTATCTTTTATTCAAATTCTTTTTTTTTAAATTTATATACATTATAAATATTTAATTCACTAAAATAATTTTTCAAAAATTTATATTTTTGATAAAATACTTTCGTATAGTATATGAGTTAAAAAATACTAGTATTAATATATATATATATATATATATATATTAATTATATTATATTATTTTAATTAAATCTATTATTTTTCTTACAATTTCAAATTCAAAAGTTAAAAAAAATATTTTATGTATCAACTTTCTGTTGTTAATATTGAATTTTTCTACTCTAACTCTATTCTCATTCTCAATGTCTGTCTTACTAAAACTTAATAACTATGAAATGTTATTCATTAGAATTAGTTGTTAATGCCGTCACAAGAAGTTACTAAGTGATCCCACACGAAGGGACAACTATTGTACAGATCTATTTCGTTGTCGTTCTGACATTACCAACAATCAAATCTCACACAAGATAGGATTATCACTGACAAATAACTTGTGTGTTTAGTTTTGCTTATTGTTTCTAAGAATTTTAGTTTAAAAAATTATTATATTAAGATACATTTAACATTTATGATATTTGAATATTTATTTTTTTATCTATATTTGTACCTTGTTCGACAACTACATATTGAATTTTTGTATTATTATGCTACTTATGTGAAGTTATATAAACATATTTTTCTTTATAAATATTTTTTTCTCAAACAAGTGCGGGTAATGGGTACAAGACGGGTATGCGGGTACCCAAAAGGTACGGGTACGGGGATTAATGTTTATACCCACGAGGGTATGGGGTTGGGTACGGGTATTTTTTTAAAACGCGGGTATGAGGATGGGTACTGTAGTACCCTACCCATACCCTACCCATTGTCATCCCTAAGTTAGAGTAGAAAAATTCAATATTGACAACAGAAAGTTGATACATAAAATATTTTTTTTAACTTTTGAATTTGAAATTGTAAGAAAAATAATAGATTTAATTAAAATAATATAATATAATTAATATATATATATATATATATATATTAATACTAGTATTTTTTAACTCATATATTATACGAAAGTATTTTATCAAAAATATAAATTTTTGAAAAATTATTTTAGTGAATTAAATATTTATAATGTATATAAATTTTAAAAAAAAGAATTTGAATAAAAGATAAATAGTTACAATAAAATTTTATAATAAAAAAATATATGTGTATATTAAAAAAATTAATAAATAAAAATTAACAATAATTTTTTATATTTATATCTTTTCAAAAACTTCTTTGAATGTGAATAAATAGTAAGAATAATATTATTTAGATTCAATAGATTATAGTTGTGCTTGTAATACATATGTTACATAGAAAAATATTATTTTAAATTAAAATATAAAAATAAAATTTAAATATTATTAATAAATAATAAGTTTACGGTAATAGTAGGTGATTGTAAAATTTATAAAATATTTATAATATATTTATTATTTATTATTCACTTTATGATTTAAACATCAATATGATTTTATTAACAAAAATATTTGTGTAAAAAATATTTTATGTGTGTCATATATAAATAATATTTTAAAAAAAAGTCAATCTTATATTAACTATGTAATAATTAAATTGTGTTAGCCTAATTAAATGATATAAAATAGTAAATAAATTTTTCTATTAAAAATATAAACCAAAATAAATTTTTTGGTTTACTTTATTATTAAATATATTTTTATATTAATCTTATATAACTTCATATAAGTAATATAATAATACAAAAATTTAATGCATAATTGTAGAATAAAGTTCAAGCATATATATATATATATATATATATATATATATATATCTATATATATATGCGGGTATGGGGCGGGGTGGGTACTTAGATACCTATACCCGCACCCATCCCCATTAAAATTTGCGGGTTTTTACCCACACCCATACCCGTATAGCGAGTAAATACCCTACCCATTATAGGTAAATTTTGCGGGTGCCCATCGGGTACTTTACCCATTGCCATCCCTAGATTTGACATGGTTTCCCTAAGTTGAGCTTTGAGAATTATTGGGATGAGTAAAATGTTTGATTTTTATTTAGGCTGTAAAATAAAAAATTAAGTTCAATATGACCATGTACTTTACATTTAAATAGTTTGAAATGACTCAAATTTAATCAAAGAAAAGTCCAAAAATATAATAAAAAACAAATTAATATGTGTATAAAATTTAAAATAAAATTTTATATTTTAACAGTTTAATTAGGCTAGTTTTATGAAGTTTAGACTATTTTGCTAGTTTTATCACAAACTATGCAATGAAAATAAAACAAAGCAATTCAAATTTGTCATAATAAAATTTAAAAGGTTATTATCTTATTCGATGAAATTTATTTCATTTTATTGTTAATTTTATCGTTTGTTATTGTATATGCCTTTTACTTCTGTTAAATTACACTACGTTGGACAAATTAAAAAAACAATTATTAGAGAAGCCAAATTTTTAGATCCATAAAAGTTCAAAAAAATAAAAATATGATAATAAAGGCGTAATATATCAATGCTTCACATTCATTATAATTTCTATGTTTCTTTTTTTTTTTTTTTTAATAGGCAATCATATTTATCTTAACTATTATGAAATTTTAATAAAATGATAACCCCTAACGATAATGTGATTCCGCCCTAAATCAAAGGCAATTTTTGAAATTTTTTCCCGTTTTGATGGAAAGCAAAACCTCTATGATTCAGCTAATGTTATTTTTTGAATAATGCAATCAATCATTTGTTAATCAGCTATTTCAGCTAGGTTTTTTTCTTTTTATTTTTTTGGCACTTCAACATGAAAATTTCTTATTAAATCTCGTTTTCATTTATCAATTATCTCCATTTTTATCAACTATTTATAAGAGAAAATTTTCATATAGAAAAATGAACACAAATAATTGACCAAACTAAAAAAAATGGCAAAATAGATGTGTTTAATCTGGAGATGGTAATTAGGTATAAGTTCAATGGGTACTTACTTCTAAAAATTACTTACGATAAATGAAAAATCATTTGTTAAATAAGTTTAGATTCAACAACTAGTATTTACCTATAAAAATAAATATAAGAATGGACAATATATTAAAATAAGAATGTAATAGTTGTTGAATTGATTTTTTAATAGGTTTATTAACTATACTTAGTGTCAAAATATTAGATTATTTTCAAATCATTTTTTTACATTCAAATTTAACTTTTTTAAATTATTTTGTTTTTATGTTTTATAATTAGGATATAATATATCTTTAAATATTTTTTAATGAGTTAAATGTTTTATTTTTAATTACTACTCTTAATTTTATTTGATATATATATATATATATTTATTTATTTTTTCTGTAATTAGCAGTGTTAAAATAACATTTTTATTGAATTACTTTTTTAAATGATGCATTAAAAAACTTATCGAATTTAATTAAAATATAAATAAGAAGTCTAATATCTACAAATTTTGAGAATAAACTAAATTTTGTCACGTGTACAAATGCAAGCTCAGGAGATATTTTTTGAAATACAAATATAACAGTAAATATTATTGAGAAGTATTATTTGTACAACAAAATCTATAATCTTTTTGCAACATAATGATTTAAGAAAAGATAAAATGTAATAAAATAAATGAAACGAAAAAAAAATGTTATGAAAAATTATAACCCAATACTGTTATATGCTATCAAAACTTATTTTTTGTCATACTTAGCTCCATCTTTGAAATCTTAAAATATTTCACTTAGGTGTTTCCTCTAATGTTAATCATAGTCTTTCGCCCCAACAACCCAACTGATTAGCAAGTAATTAACAAATGATTACACCTGAAATTAAAAGATAATTGTCTCAGTGCCGTATTGAAGTTCTCGATCCAGTAAATAATTTTAAATTGATTTTTTATCACATCACATGTCTAGCGGCATATAATAAATATTTGTATATTATAATTTATATAATGGCATATATTAAATTTTATAATATCTTAAAATTTTCTAAAAAATATTATTAATAATTTTAAACACACGTTAAAAAATTTAATTTAAAATTTAAATCACCTAAACTGATTATCTTAATGCTTAAACTATTCAGTTCTTTGTGATCATCATCAATAAGACCAACACTTTGCATTCCTCAAAACTAATAGTTTATTAACATGTCTCTGTCGCTCATAACCAAGAAGATTTTTTCTCCTTTGGATAGAGCATGTACTTTGAAAAATAATAAAATATACTCCATGTGTTACTTTTTTGAAAATTACAAAGATGGCCCACGATTTAGGAAAAATTAATCTCTCCCCTTCAACCTTTTGAGGCCATGGTAGCGCCACGTATGATAAAGTAGGAAGATAACGAAGATGAAGAGGAAATGCACCTTGGCCTTGGAAGGTTAACGAAATAAAGTAAGAAAATAGATACCCAATATGGAAGGGGTAGCGGAAATATGGCAAAGTTTACTTTTTTAATTCTATTAGTTTTTTTTTTATCGTCGTGTATACGTGGGTAAGGTTTTGTTTGTTTTGTACTTTTGTTTTATTTTTTTAATTGTGTGCTTTTCCTTTTTTGATTTTTTTTATGTGAGAAATGTTGGGAATTTATGAGGCTGTGGAGCTTCAGTGTGCTTGTGCAACTAGAAAGTTTTTGTTGTGTGGTTCTGTTCTGAGGTTGGCCTAGCAGAAACAGGAGATCCTCCTCTGGTGACACTGGTACACCTCTCTCTCTCTCTCTCTTCTTCTTCTTCTCTGTCTCTATTCATGTGTCTGTCTATCTGCCCATTTATTACTTTTGATGGGTGGTGGAAAATTCTGATAAATTTGGATTAAGTTTGGTGCTTTTGGAAGGTCTATGTCGTTTTTCCTAGTGTTAGAGTTGAGAAACCTTAAACCTTTGTACAAAATACAGTCTTTTTTTTTTTTTTGGGGGGGGGGGGGTTGGATTTCTGAATTTTAATTTTCCCTACTAAAAAAATTCTCTCTTTTTTTTTTAAAAAATTTATATTGGTTTTTATTTAAAGGGATAGATTGCATCCTGAAAAGTTTGTAAATTTATGTGGCTAACTTTACAGGAAGTTGTGATCGTGTTCAGTGTGTAAAGGCTGAGAGGTTGATCTTGATATAGGGTCTTTTGTGGTTTTTCTGAAAGAAATGAAATGAGTTTGAGTTATAATGGTGATGGTGGAGGTGCAGGAGTGTGAAACAAATTGGAGGACTCATATAATTCTTGGATGTGTTGTTGCGCCTGGCCCACATGCAACTCTAAGTGGATAAAGATGGATGGTTCTTCTGGGTCTGCTTTGCAGAATTCTGACAATTCTAGGGCGTTGAATAGTTCTGGAGTCTCAGGTAGGAACCAAAGGCTTCATTGTCCTGAAAGAAACCCCTTCTCTGGTGAGGCATCACAGGATTCTGGGTTTAAAAAGGAAAGGGATAGGGTTCTGTTGGCACAAGGTGATCAGCTTAAAAATCTGGGTGGTTTTTCTGGGTTTTGTGAGGATGAAATCGAGGTTGACCCCTTTTTTTGCTCTGTAGAATGGGGTGATCTTAGTTTGAGGCAATGGTTAGATAAACCTGAACGATCAGTGGATGCCTTCAAATGCTTGCACATATTTAGGCAAATAGTTGAAATCGTTAGTGTAGCGCATTCTCAAGGAGTTGTAGTTCATAATGTGAGGCCTTCCTGCTTTGTCATGTCATCTTTCAACCTTATCTCGTTTATTGAATCAGCATCTTGTTCGGATACTGGCTCAGATTCTTTAGGAGATGGATTGAACAGCCAAGGGGTTGAGATGAAAACTCCAACATCTCTGTGTCCCCATGATATGAATCAGCAGAGTGTAGGAAGTGAAGATTTTACGCCCATCAAAACTTCTACAACAACTGCTCTGTCAGATTCTAGTTGCATGCTTTCGAGTGCTGTGTATGCTGCTCGCGCATCTTTAATAGAAGAAACAGAAGAAAATAAAATGAAAGATAGGAGAAAGGATGAAGAAGTGGAAGGAAAGAAGCATTCATTTCCTATGAAACAGATACTGCTAATGGAGATGAGCTGGTACACTAGTCCTGAAGAGGTAGCTGGTGCTTATAGTTCATGTGCTTCGGATGTTTATCGTTTGGGAGTTCTCCTTTTTGAGGTTCATATCAGAAACCGTACAATTCTTTATTTCTTATATTTTAATTGGGTACTTTGGCATACTTTATCTTCTTCACTTTGTTGTTACAATGAAGTAAGATAGGGTGTTGAAAGACCCTATTTACTTGTTTATGTACTCTAATTTGATTATCCTACATGTGTTCAGCTATTTTGTCCGCTCACCTCAAGAGAAGAAAAGAGTAGAACCATGTCTAGCCTTAGACACAGAGTTCTTCCCCCACAAATACTTCTGAAGTGGCCTAAAGAAGCTTCATTTTGCTTATGGTTACTACATCCTGACCCTAGCAGTCGTCCAACACTGGGGTAATTTATTCTCATCGCATACTTTTTACACTATATATACAAATTGTTTGTGGCATGACCCCATTACCTCCTGCTACTTGAAAGCCTTGTTTTCTATTTCCTTTTTGTTTTTCAATTCTTTAATTTATGAGATGTTAAGAGGTTCTGATTCAGCTAATCGGCACATTATTTTGTATTAGATCTTTATAAGCTGTTTTTCAGTTGAATTTCTAAGATTATATAAGCTTCAAGGTTTCTGATCTACTTATCTCTCGGATACTGAGCCCATTATGGAGTGTCTATTTGAGAGACTAATTAGATAGGTTCAATAACTAATATAAGATAAACTTGAACAATTTATATGATCACTTTTGCACTAATCTTGCTGTGTTGGATGACTTGGATCATATTAGTTTTGTTAAGAAGTTTTGTATCAGATAATTTATATTTCTGCCAAAGGTGGAAGATAAGTGGTAAATCATTTGCCAAAGCCAATATGACAATATTGGATAAAGTTTGCTGACTACTTGAAATATATTTTAGGGATTTCTAGGCTAAATAAGAGTTTTTAATATTTATCTTTAAGCTTCCTGGGACAGTTGAGGCTTTAATTTTCTTGTGTCATAGTATAAGTCAGCAATATTTTGCACTGTATGCTTAGAGGATGCATCTAGTGTTTGCGAAATTCATTCTTTTGTGTAGTTCTATGTTACAAGTTTTAAATACGGAGGCCTAGTCATATATCTCTAAATTTCTTTATCTTAACAACTTCCATAGAGTTTACTACATAATATAGTAGCTAAGAATGAAGATCCTAACTGATCAAATTTTTTTAATCCTGTAATAAACATTACGGATATTTTTTAAACCATTTATTTTGCTTGTGTAGCAGGGAGTTGTTGGAGAGCGAGTTCCTTAATGAACAGAGAGATGATTTGGAAGAACGTGAAGCAGCAATTGAACTGACACAAAGGATAGAGGATCATGAGTTGTTGCTAGAATTCCTTTTGTTACTTCAACAGAGAAAACAGGAAGTTGCTGATAAGTTGCAACATACTATCTCTTTTCTGTGTTCTGATATTGAAGAAGTGACCAAGCAGCAAACTAGATTTAAAGAGATTGCTGATACTGAACTTGGGAATGATGATCGTACAGCATCAAGTTTCCCATCCAAGACAGTGGTTGATAGTGAGGATTCTGCTTCTCTAGGGACTAGAAAACGAGTCAAACTAGGGGTGCATATTAATAAAAACATTGAGGAATGTGATGATTACATAGGGGATAATCAGAAAACTAAAGAAAATTTTCTTTCAAAAAGTTCACGGCTAATGAAGAACTTCAAGAAACTTGAGTCTGCATACTTTTTAACACGATGTAGACCAGCTTATTCCTCAGGGAAACCGACGAGTAGACATCCACCTGCAAATGATCGTAGAGGGTCTGTTGTCATGACTGAAAGAAGTTGCATTAATGACTTGACATCAAAAGAGCAGAGCAGGGAGGGTGCAAGTGCTTGGATAAATCCTTTCCTTGAGGGTTTGTGCAAGTACTTATCATTCAGTAAGCTAAAGGTTAAAGCTGACCTGAAGCAAGGAGATCTTTTGCACTCTTCCAACCTCGTATGCTCACTCAGTTTTGATCGTGATGGAGAATTTTTTGCTACTGCCGGTGTGAATAAGAAAATTAAAGTGTTTGAATGTGATGCAATCATAAATGAGGATCGTGATATCCATTATCCAGTAGTGGAGATGGCTAGCAGGTCAAAGTTAAGCAGTATATGTTGGAATACATACATCAAAAGTCAAATTGCTTCAAGTAATTTTGAAGGTGTTGTACAGGTAAGTCATTTGCCATTATAAGTAGTTTAAGGTATCTATAACAATGTTGTAACTTATTTTCTTATTCAGTTATGGGACGTGACAAGAAGTCAAGTACTATCTGAAATGAGGGAGCATGAGCGGCGGGTGTGGTCCATTGATTTCTCGTCAGCAGACCCAACAATGTTGGCTAGTGGGAGCGATGATGGTTCTGTCAAGCTATGGAGTATCAATCAGGCAATTCCATTTTTGCACTTGGTGGATGTCAGCTTTGAAACTAAACGTACTGCAGTCATCTATTGCATGTTTTATGTATTTAATGCTGGATGTATGATGAGTTGTTTCTCTCACCTGGGCTGTTACTGCAGGGAGTTAGTGTTGGTACCATCAAAACAAAGGCAAATGTATGCTGTGTTCAGTTCCCTCTGGATTCTGCTCGTTTCCTTGCGTTTGGTTCAGCAGATCACCGAATATATTACTATGATCTTCGCAACCTAAAAATGCCACTCTGCACTTTAGTTGGACATAACAAGACTGTGAGCTACATCAAATTTGTAGACACTGTGAACCTTGCCTCTGCATCCACAGACAACACTTTGAAGCTTTGGGATTTATCCGCGTGTGCTTCTCGAGTTATAGACTCACCAATTCAATCATTTATGGGTCACATGAACGTTAAGGTACATGATTTTTCAATTATATTTGCCCAAAGGTTTGTTTTAATATGACCACTCACAGTTTCATCGTATAGAACCAAAAAAGCACTTTTGCTAAAAAAAAATTATATGCAAAGTTATGACCATTTATTATATATTTCCAGACATTTTTATGTAGTCAGTGTTTCAACTTTTGAGGGATTATATACTATCTTGCTAATAAATCTTTCTTTTGTTGTAGAACTTTGTGGGATTGTCAGTATCTGATGGTTATATTGCTACTGGTTCAGAGACAAATGAGGTATTTCATATGTCCTTTTCTCTCAGTTTTCCTATTGATTTTACAGTACTACTGAAGGTCATCTTCTGTGTGGATTAGGTGTTCATATACCACAAAGCCTTCCCCATGCCAGCATTGTCATTCAAGTTTCAGAACACAGACCCTCTTTCTGGTCATGAAGTGGATGACGCGGCACAGTTTGTGTCCTCCGTTTGCTGGCGCGGTCAGTCATCGACCTTACTTGCTGCAAATTCCACAGGGAATGTCAAAATTCTAGAGATGGTTTAAGATGTCCTCTACTCAGCAATCTACAAATAATACAAAGTTTGCTGTGTGCATGAGGTGGCAGAACCTTTGTTTAAGATGAGAGTTTCTGTTACCAGTAAATGCTATACAGAGGGGTATACAGATTCCTTGATTATTACTTGTAAGTTGTATTATAACAAATTTTTGCATTAGTAGATCATAGCGGAAGCAGTTCAAGAGAAGAGTGAGAATGGTCTTGTGAAGGAAAAAAAAAAAAAAAACGGAAAAGGTCCTGTAGATAATGTGTCACATGGAAAAAAGTGAAGGTCAAATTCTATATCAGATTTTATTACGGTTGTGATCCATATTCAATTTTATAGATACATTCACCTTAGAGGAAGCTACTCTTTTTGTGTAGAATTCTATAACAACTACAGATAAAAATCTATTGCATTTTCAAACAAAAATTATTACTTTTTATGTGATCTATTGTGGCTAACTTTGATTAATTGAATGTTGTGTACAGTGTAGAATGTAGCATATCAAATGCGTTTTGTTATAACGGTTCCAATGAGGTTTGATATATGATCTCTTACAAACTTCTCGAACCTTTTCACTGTAATTTAGTATGGTTTTTTGCATGCTCTGTTGTGGCATATCAGATGGCATATAATTTAAATATCATGAAATATTTAAAAAATATATTCTTACAATGTTCACAAGTATTGTGTCTGTGATCAGGATACTATACATTTAAAGCTTTACATCGAAAGAAATTAATATATTCCCTTAAACCATTGGTTATTTGAAAGTTTACTAAGAACATTTACTGAACTCGTATCAATTTTATTTTTATTATATTGACAAAACAAAAACGAAGCAATTTCATTGTATGTTTAGATTCTAACGAAGTAACGATCTACTATTCCAGCTTGTGGAAAGAGAAAGCGCAAGTGTGAAACTAATTTTTTTTTTTAACAAACATATTTTAATCTCTTAAATTATAGGAGTAGATTATTTGTCCTTAATTTAATAAAAAAAATTACTTTAGTTCATTTACAAAAAAGAAAGACTAAATTAATAGACATTTACAATTTCAAAGACCAAAAAAGGTATTTATTCAAATTTTCTGCATTCACCCTCCTCAATAAATGCAACCACAAACTTATAAAGTGTGTTTTTGCGTTTGGAAACGTTGGTCGTGTGTTTATGATTCACGCCATGCAAAGTAGCGTCAGGTTAGGCGCAAATACTTCACGTTAAACACATTGAAAGTCTTCGGTTTTGGTGGGAAAAAACAAACAAACAGAAGAATTACTTTATTTTTGGTCGAAAAAAACTAAAGAGTTGAACACGTGCTTTCCTCGGCTGAAACAAGAAACCAAACATCCATTACTTACCAGAATCATAAGCAAAGAGAAAAAATAAGAATAAAAGTTGTGCTTGTTACCATTGACACGCGATCCTTCCGCCACAATCTCTTCCAAATTTATGAAACAAGTCATTGTACATTAATTAACGTTGTCCTTTTAGCAAAATTGAACTTCCTATATCCTAGCCCTACATTGGACCCGGTCCAATTAATAATTCATTTGTCATGGTAATTGTTGTTATTAGCCTTTTAAACACGAAGATAATGTTGATAGCCTTTTTAGGATTTTGATTCGAGTAATCTCTCTAGTTAATTTTCAAAATAGTATAATTTATGCCTTCGAATTTCTGAAATTTTCAAAATATTTAGTAAACCCCAACTTTGTAAAAAGTTTATTTATTTTAATCCGTTTTTTACTTTATTTTTTCCTATCGCTTTTCATTGAAAAAGACTTCAATAAATGTCACATCTTATAAAATTTAAACTAACAAAAAGAAAATTAAAATCTCAAAAACTAAATACACAATCATACAATCTGGAAGGGTAATTTAAATATTTACTCGTTTTGGATCAAAGGTAGCATTAAAATCTCAGGATTGAGATTCCATTGATTGTTGATCACGGACAAATATTGCCACTAAATCAGAGAAAACTAAAAATGATTTGTATAAGCCACTGAAATATTAACCATGATATATAAAAATGTCTAGCAGAGGTTTTGGCTGACTGAGTCTAAAATCTAATAATCCAAATTCTGTTGTCTATCAAAAGGATCATGATTCATGAAACATGAAGTAAAATAACAAAAAAAAAACATTGATAAAAATCTATAAAATTCCAGGATCATGATGCTGCTATAAAAAATGTGTAACCTCTATGTAAAAAGGACCTACAAAAAGAAAGATGACCCTCATGCCATCTTTGGTACTTCACATAGAAGCTACTAATTATGGCCAAGTTAATATCTGGGATTGATGTGCTATACCAAGCTAACTACATTTGATGTTCAATCGCTTTCCAACCTCAAAGTTATATCCCTTCATCTAGATGCTGAAATAATGTATCTGGTTATAAAAATAACCATCATCTATCTGACACTCTTCAATCTCCAACCACAAAAGTTCCAAATAGGAGCTATTTACACTGATCCTCACCAGATTTAGCCTTCAAAATTAGCTCAGCTACGAAGCGATGAAGCCTTTCAGATCCAGGACCAGGTTTGAGTTTATAAATGTTCCCAATCTCAGAACATTTGGGCTTACCCGTGCACCAACCGCCGAGAGGAAATAGTCCATTTCTCCTATGGAGCAACTTTTTATCAATCAAATCCAAGGCAGGGTCATCTTGATTAAATTTTCTAGCAAAGGCAGCACCACTTTCAATCATTTTGTCTGTGTCATTGATATTAAGGACATGAGGGTGCTGCTTAGGAGGGTTGTCCCAGGCAATAAAATGCATGTCACTATTGACAAGAGTTTTAGCTAATTCAGGCACATTGCATGCAACAGTTTGAAAGTAGCCTTCAGGGGAAGAAACAAAATTAGTGTAGTACATGAGAAGTGTCCTTGGTAGATTATCCCATCCCCAGATTACATATTCAACAAATTCGTGTGATAATACCATCCATGCTGAACCTGCAATGTAGGTACAATAATCAAACAAAAAATATTATTGGAAAGCAAAGTAGATAATAATAGAAGTGTGAAAATGATGGCAAGACAGAAAACACTCATTTGGAAATCGGTGTGTACTAAAAGGGGGATCATTTCATTTATGCCTTAAGATTGATTAATCTTTTCTCCCCTGCCCAAAAGGAAAAAAAAAACATTTTTTCTTAGTCCAAAAGGAGAATCTTTCATGAAAAAAACACAGTTCATCAATTGTAACAACATGAATTTTAAAAATGCACATGCATATATTTCAATTCTGCCTTTAGAAGCTATACCCTAGGAGACAATTTAATGAACGAGATAACTTATTGAGGTATCAGAACCTAAGTGAAAATATCTTATCAACAAACAAGAAAAAAGAAAGTACTTTCTACCACGACAACAGATAACTGGTTTGATTCTCTTAGACTGTACTATTCTTCTCCAAATTCGCATAATTAAACCTTCAGAACAGTGATCAATGACAAGGACAAAGAAATAATAGTAAGAAGGGAAAACTAACCAGTGAATAGTTTAAAAGCATCTGGTAAAGTTCTCTTAGGATTGACCCAAAATACATCAGATTTGGTTGACATGTAAAGCCCTGGGTCTACAATTAAAGGCATTGCTCGTTTATCTCTGCACAGTATGATTCAATTCATCATTATGTATAAATCCATGTTTCATATGTCATGGGGGGAGGGGTCAATTAATTATATGTCAACGTTGTTTATATCAAGAGAATGGAGAGTAGGAAAAACTTACAGTTTCCATCCTAACCGACTTGTGTGCTCAATGAAGTTAAGGCATCTATCTAAATCTGAAAAAGCATGTAGTAGTTCTGCACAATTATAATATTTACCCATATTAGTCTAACAATCATTAAGTAGAAAAAGTTGCAATCCTGAAATGTTTGAATCATAACAAAATATTAATAGAAACTACCATATAAGATTACTAATTAACTAACCATCCTGAGTCACAAGAGGATAGTCTGAAGCACTAAGATTAATAAACCAGTCCCAGTCTTTACTTCTCTTGAGCAGAATGGCACAGGCATGAAGAGTATTAGCAACCATCGTTGGTCCTCTATAAGTGACCATGTTAGCCTTTGTAATTACATAAACGTTTCCAACCTCAGCAAAGACATGCTGTCTTTCAATTCTATGTGCAAGCTCCATCCTTTCCTCAAGTGGGGATTCGAGGTCCAAATGAACAACATAATGGTTTAGTGGATGATATAGTGCATGAAGAGTTCTCCAAAGCTTTTCCAAATCGCCTTTGGAGCCAGAAATCAAATATGCAAAACGAGGAATTGCAGGCCTAGCAGGAGCTGGAGCAGGAGAACTCTTCTTCTCCACAAAAAACGGCGCAGTTTGGTTCGATCGTAAATGAGATGGGAGAAAAAAGAATAGTGAATTGATGGAATGAGTTGAAGAGACAAGACCCATGTTGAAGGATGTTACTAGAAGGAGCATGCATACCGCAGAACACAGAATGAGAGGAAACAACCATTTCTTCTCTAAGTTTAAGAATCCCATCACTGAAAAGTGAGAACTATCTACCATGGATACTTCACATTCTAGATTCCACGAATCATTGAAACATAAATTCCCAATTCACCATCAAGCAGCCACTAAAATAAACATATTTAGCATCCACTTCATATATCTTCTCAATACTCTCTGTCTTTGAATAGAATCTGTTGAATCAACACCAACTATTATGTTCATGAAATTTTATAGTTCTACTTTGGGAATTATTAATTATTTAATAAACAAAGGAATCACAGTTCCGTAATTAAACGGGTTAAGCATCAATAAAATAAACTAAATAATTGAATGACCAAAACTAGTTAGATACGCATGAAGCATGTTGCGGAAACGAGACAAACTCGAGCATATAAAAATCGAAAAAAAAGTGGCCAAAGAATATTAAAAGTATTAAACAAAACAGATTTTGTTCTTGACAATGACGAACTAAAAGAAAAGGGGCTAGATAAAAGCTGAAACGAAATTGGTCATCATAAAATAATAGATAGAAAAACAACGATCTAGAACAAATCGTTGAATTGTCTGGGATTAATTCAAGATAGATTTCAGCTGAAACAATGGTCCATAAATTTTATTTCTAACTGTTGTTTTAAAAAAATATTAATAGAACACGATCATTAAAAAAGGAGAAAACCCGGATAAAAAAATCATTAATTAAATTATTGATAACCCTTGAAACAGTAGAGACACACAAAAATAAAGAGAAAGGAAACCTGCATGGTGAAGAACACAAGCTGAAAGTTAAGCTTAATTTGAATATGAAAGGAAAAAACAACAAATCTATGAGTTAATCACAATTATGTAAATCACACTAATGAAATTATTGAGAGATAAAGAGGAGGGACAAACCAGTTTATGATGCAGGACCCGTCCACGTCTAAGAATAAAGAATCATGAGAGAGAAAGAGGATCTAATGTTGAACGCATGAAAACTAAGATTCAGAGAGAGATTTGATTTGTTAAATAAGAGAAAAGGAGTTTCTTTTGTTGTAACTTGTAAGGTGTACGTTTGTTTGTCAGTGTTTCAATGCACGTGTCAGACAAAGTGGTTCCATTTATTTGGGGAGTTACTTTCTAGCTATTATCAATTTAGAATAATGTGGAAAGTGGGTTGTAGATATTAATATATCCTAATTATTTATTCTGTTATTAATTTTACTTTTTAAAAATTACTATTAATAAGTATAACTCTGAGTTAATATTTTTAAAAGTTATACGTAATTTCTTTGTATTTATTATGAAAGCAGTCTTTTTTTCAAATCTAGAGGAGTGATAACTGATAAGTCTTGTGTATATATACATATTTAGCAACTGTTAATCAATGTTAGTGGGTATTAGTAAAAAAGATTAAAACAATTTTTTATTTAAACTAATAAACATCTTTTTTTTAAATTTTTAATGTAGTTAGTTATATGGTTTTTAAGAAAGTTTGTTCACTTTTAATTTCCTGGTTTGTTAGCTGTTTTTTGTTTCAAGCAAAACTAGGGTAGATTTAGATGAAATAACTGAAGATTTTGGCCGTTTCTTATTTCTTCAAATTTTTTGAAAAAATATATATACGTTGGTTCAATTTTTCAATAAAAATTATAATTTTACAATTTCTTCAAAATTAAAATTTTATTTTAATAATGTACAATAATATTAAATATAAATTTTTATTAAAATGTATCCTTAATTTTAATCCATATTCACACTAATAATATTTATAAAATAACACATAATTTTGTTTTTATTACTACAGCTATGTATGTTAAAAATTATTTATTTGAGTTTTTCTTAATTATTTTCTAAATGCAATCCTACATACATGTAATGTATAAATGTTTCTAAAACTTATAAAATTTAATAAAATAATATATACTAATTTTGAAACAATATCCTTTATTTCAGTGTTCTTTCTTTTAGCAGTGTAACAGAATATTTAAAGTTTCAAACAAATATAACAAAGTGAGAAACACACTAACTTATTACTTATTTAAAAAGTTGAAGATAAATACAAATAAAATAAAGCAGCAATATACATGTACTCTCAAATTACAAATATCTTTAAACATTAATAAAACTTTTAGCATACTATAAAATTTCAAATTTTCTTCAATACTTCTTTTAAATGCACGAATAAGGCTTAATATATTGTCTGTATTATTAATTTGGTCCGAATCATATAATGATTTATTGAAACTAAAAAAATGGCTAACAAATTTTTGCTTGATTGAAAGATTAAATGCTTATTTAAAAAATATTATAAAAATTATTAAATATATTTTAAAAAATATAAATCTTTTATATATTAATTTAATTAATTTTTATAACATTCCTTGATCTTTTTCTTGAGCATGGATGTTGGTGATGTTTGTCAACCTAAAATTGTGTTCTGATTTCTTATTTTGTTCAGTCTTTTAACTATATTTAATATATAGAAAAAATAATTTTTATAATACCTCTAAAATCCTTTTGCTTGAAAATTATATTTTATTTTTGACAAGTTCTAACTGGTAATTTTAAGAAAATAAGTGCTTTTTATATATTTTTAGTAAAATTAACTAAAAACTTATTGTTCATCAAATTAAATAAATAATACGTACTGTATTGAATCAACTAAAATTCGTTTCGTATTATTCGATCCTTGCACCCATATTTTTTCTTGTATATCTACATCAACTAATAACTACATCAAAAAAATATTTTATTTTTCTACTAAAATCAATTAGCGACTTGCAGAAAGAAGTTGACAATGCAATCAAATGTGTCACAATAATGACGACTGAGAAAGGTTGGTAAAATCTACACTGTATCCTCGCACACTTTTTTAAAATATTGTTTTATTATTAAATAAATTTTGTTGCTTTTAAAAAAAATTAAATTCACATTGTTTCAATAAATTTTAGACAAACAACTAATAAAAGTATTATTAATACAACCGATATTAATCTTTAACATATTTTTAGTGTGTTTTTTAATAAAAAAAATTTAACCAGTATTTTTATTAATTAACAGAACTTTAAATTATATATATAAAAAAATTTCTTACGCTAATATAAGATTAAAAATTCTTACACCTAATTTGAATTTTTTATTTATTTTAAATTTAATGGATTTTAATTTATTATTATTTTTATTTAATTTACACTCATATAAAAATATCATGTCAGTTTGAAAATAAGGTACAGTCATGAACTCCTTTCTGACATTCACATTTGGAGCATCTATAATTTCAATGGAAACACTCAACAAGCCACTTTGAAATTGTTTATAATCTTAATGTGAGTGTTTCCTCACCAGAAAAAGATGGGTATACATTGTTTTCATGGATCGTTTCTTCATTTTACCTTATAATTGCCACAACGTTTAGTCAAAATATTCTAAGTAATCAATTCAAAATCTTGAGCTCTATGAAGTGTGACACCCATTTGAGGTGTGAGGTCTCCATCCAATTTCCGTAAGATGAGAAAAGAAAAAAGAAAAAACAGTGTCCAACTGTCATAGTTTTGCATATCATACAACAGTAACATGTTAAGTATAAGGATATGCATAGAATCTTTATAAGACCCCAAAACATTTCTTACTTTTATATTTATGTATTACATATGTTTTCTTATGCTGTGTCATTCAGATTTTACCTTCTAGCGAAACTCTTAAGTTATGAATTATTATTATTATTATTGCTTCATTCATCAACTTTTGAGAGGTGGCCATTTTTTTGTGGTTGAAAAATAATTATTATATTTTGTTAATAAAAATATATAGCTAAATTAATATATATTCAACGATATCAAATCTATTTTGCTTGTATTTAAACTAAATAAACTCATCCCAAGTTTTATGTTTTTATTTAAGGTTAGCCAAAACTTATCTCAAAAATAATATTAATCATTAATATTTGTCACTTTAAAATGAAAATACTATTGATTGGTATATAATCAAAGTTTAGATCCTAAAAAATAAACTTACCATTTTGCTGCGTCACATCTCTTATTAGTTGACTTCTAATATGATATCAATTCAACAGAGAAGTGCACTTCTCACTAACTTAATGCTAATGGCACTGTGATGATTGCTCTCTGTTACAATCTTAAAGTATTTGTATATAAGGGTTCAGTGGCAAATGGAAGAGTGAGAGAGAGACAACTAGGTTTTTTTTCTTGCTCTCTAATATAATTTCTAGCCTATGAATTTATTGTTGTGTTTTTTACTGTGTTTCTAAAACTTTTAAAATAAAATAAAAAGACAGCGCACGTGGCAGAATGCGTATTGGACGTACAGAGGGTATTTATGTATTTGGGATTACAGATCTACCACGCGTTTCTCGATGACAACGCATACCCCGCCGCCTCGGTTTTAATACATGATAAATATTTTTTTATAAATATTAATTTTTTAATATTTAAATCTAATATCAAGTATTTCAAATAATGTAATTATCATATCAAATATATAAAATAAAGGTATAACATATTTTAATAAATTTTTACTATTATGAATTACTGAAATTTAGTTTTAAGAAACCGGCTTATTCGGATTAGTTCATTTGGAGCAGAACTCATAGTAAGTTAAACAAAATTTATTTATATTTGAGGATTTTAAAAATTATGTTCAAAATGGGTAGAACATATTTTTAATAAGTTTTCCCAAGTTTAATCTTGTTAAACTTAATTAAATCAAGTTTAAAACAAATTTTGAGTTCAAATTTTAAAACTTAAACTCTACGTTTTATTTTATAAAATCTGCAATTTCATTTACTAGCTTTACTCTTCAAACCCAATACTTTTAAGATATTTTTTTTAAATATTAACATTTCTTTTAAAAGACAAATTCAAAGTACAAAGATATTTCAACCTCTTATAATTTTAAAGATAATTAATAATTTATATTAATAATTATTAATTCAATTTACATACACAATTGATCTCCTTAACAATATAGTTGTAAGCTATTTTTATATTTAACAGAATCAAACATTTCACGAGCATTTTATATACTTTTGTTGAAGAGAATATTATTTTGTTAAAACTAAATTGTTCATACTATTACAAATCATACAATTACAACTTCCTTTTTTTTTTTCACATTAAATTCCAGGCATATTTAGTAACACATCATGCAAATTTTTAGGTAAGCATAAACTGACATCAAATCATTCAAATATCATATACCCACAATTTCAAAAAGATCATGCAATGCAAAAATAAAAATAAAAATTGCAGTGTGTTTTCATCTTCGGTGTCACACAGCTCACAAGCTTTCGAGAAAATCATCAATCTATGTTTGGTCAAATTCCTCTGCCGCATTGGACTGCATTAAGTAGTAGACACTAAATGAATATCACTACTTTTCTCGGCACACTGACTTTTCAAAATTTATGTAAGGCTTGCATTAGACATTGTTCTAAACTGCTACCTATAATAAAAAAAATGACTGTGTAGTAACAAGCAGATTGTACATTATATTTCTTAGTACCATCACACTTCCATGTTAACATGTCATTTACATTTTCCTTTGGCCTCTTACTCTTTGTAATCCCCCACAATTGTTGTTGTAAATCTTCCTCTCATAAAAATAATTGTATTGTCCAAAAAATTTCCTACACTCGTTGATCCATTGACCCATCTCAAATCGTCCACATCTATAATGGTATGGTTTGCAGTAGTATGAATAATTTAACTTAAAAAAAATATTATCTTCAATAAAAGTATACTAAATGTTAGTGAAATGTTTGATTCTATTAAGTATCATTTTTATAAGTAGCTCGTGACAGGACCTTTAAAAAACTCAATTGTATATGTGAATTAGATTAATGATCCATTGACATGTATTGTTAATTCTCATTAGATATGTAATTGGTTATAATACTCTTATACTTATATTTTATCTTTAATAAAATATTGATATTTAACAAAATAAAAAAATATCCTGATTAACATTAGAAATTTATTTTTTAAAGAATTTTTGTTCTCTTAAATTTTTG